AAAAAATTGCATATATTCTCTATTGTTTATTAAAAAGCACTTAATGTATCTGAGAGAAGCTCTTATGTTGCAACTTAATTGTAAGTATTGTATATTATTAATCCAAATCAGAAGAGTCACTCGTTATGAAGTTGATTAGGTGAAAATTAATTAATTCTAATATGACATAGTACGGTTAAATAACAGGGAGGCAATGTCAGGTGATTCGTCCCGGAGTTGATATTTTTTAACCTAAAGCCTATTACTCATAGGCTCATAGCTGATCTGTTAGCTACTGCAAATAAAGCTTTGCCCAGAAAATTCTCAAATCTTTCTGTCCATTAACACAAACGAGACCATGAGTAGTACGCATTATTGCCCATTTGAATCGTTGAAAGAAAACAGGGTAAACAGTGTTGTTGAATTAAGAAGATATCTGCAAGAAACAGATAGAAAGCCAGAGCTTCAATACAGCCCTTATTTTTATACTTTGTCGTGTGTCCCTCTGCCACACCATAGAAAAATGAAAGGTAAACATTGTGTTTGAAGAAGATTGTGATTTGTGAAAGAACAGAGAGAAGCCAAAGTTTCAAAATAAAGCAGCCTTTTTTTGAATTTATCGTGTATAGGTATGTCTATCTAAGCTCCAATTTTTTTTGGGGGGTGATCTTATAGATTTATATATATTTCAGTAAAAATATAGAGATGCTTTAGTACTACTTATTTTATACTCTATAATATTATACGAAAATAAGCTAATTAAATGAAGTAATATGAATAGTGAAAGTTTATTTAACGGACTCCAATTTGCTTGANAGGATATAATGTAACAGGCCCTTTTGGACTAGTAAATAAAGCACTGTGAAAGTAAAAACTTTTGGACATATTTGACAGTCAAGTGTAACATAATTTGAAGGAGGCATCAACGGTTGTGGCAACTGGAGACTGCTAAAGTTGCCACAACGATATGATTTCTAGTGCCTACTACTACTACTACTAGCATATAGTCAGACTTTTATAAGGTGGGGGTCTTCTCTGAGTGCAAGCTAATTAGGCCACTACTTCATTATATTCTAGCTTGCCTAAAAGAGCTCATGGAACAAAATGGTATCTCGATTCTTGCATAAATATCTATGTGATCAAAACGGGTGAGACAAGCATGTTGAGGACAATTTAACTTCTTTAACGCAATGTAGGCAAAAGGGGGAAATTAGGAAGAGAGTACAAACTGGGAGAATATTAACGTACCAAAATGGTTTTCCACATGAAAATAAGAGAAGAAAGGCAAGTGGGAAAATATAGTACTCCCCTGCTTTGATAATACAAATAAAAGAATAAATATATCTAAATTATATAGATTTATTTTTGTATGAAGTTGAAATATATACTACGTACGTACAATTTTAGAGTCATTCACGCAGAACATAAAAATATCATCAATTTTGGCCGTAGCAAAATTTTCTCCATGTTATGTAACTCGTTCTTTATCTCAATATTATAAATTACTACTCCCTCTATTTCAATTTACGTGAACCTATTTCTTTTTTGGTCCGTTCCAAAAAGAATGGTCCATTTTTAAATTTGGAAACAATTTAGCTTAAACTTACAATTCTACCCTTAATGAGAAGATTTTATAACACACAAATACTCTTGGCCGTTTTTTAACTTATTTAAGACCAGAAATTTTAAAAGTCTATATTTTTTCTTAAACTTTATGTTCAGTCAACGTACAAGTTCATATAAATTGGAAGGAAGGGAACATAAGTTATATACCAACTATTTCCTTCCAGCTGCCTTTGCTACTCCCGTGATAGCGAGCTACTTGGGATTAGACCCACTCAAAATGCAAAGACATTGATTCGAAATGCAGGTACTACAAATATAGGTTTCAAAAAACCTATGTGGTAGGGCAACTTTTCTAAAGCAACGTGGCATTATCACATTTCTCTCTATTCTCTCTTCGTGAATCGTAATCAAATTAAAAATAGTTTTCGAAGTAATGGAAGAAATTAGAATGTTAGGAGCAATGGTGGAGGCACAAGTCAAGCTACAAGATTCGGCAAAACCCAATAATTGCAGGTCAAATTCTGTATAATATGTATTAAAAAACTATTTAATATGTCTAAATAATCTATCCGAACTCAAGTAGCTTATCATGCCCTAAATTCCAGAACTCATATGTTCAAAATTTGGCTTAGCCTTTTTAGGAGACAATATTTCTTCTTGTGTGTGATACATTCATTTGCTCCTATGTAATGTAACTTTCAACAATTATGGTGTTTAACCAAAAATAGAAATTTCGGTCAAAGCTTTATTTTAGAAGAACTCGAGTTAGTGATAATCAAATATATAATGAATAAATGAAATTGACTTTTTAATAATAATAAGAAGAGCAGAAGAGAGCAAAGTAAATCAGTATATTCCAATAGTATTTCGTGTCCTTACAAATGTTCAATCTTCACCTTATATAGCTATCTCTAAGTAGTACGTTTTTCTCCTCTTATAATAGAGTCTTTATGACAATTAATAAAATATAATGTAACGTTATAATTGGTAATCATAACTGATTCAATACAAATTCCATAACGCTTTCCGTAATTAATGCCTATTAATTACCAATATATATATATATATATATATAAAATTTATAAGAAATTGCCTTAGATAAAAAAATTTTTAAAAAAAATAGCCCGGAACAGTTATGCCCGTGGGCCCGGCCCATTTAGCCCGGGATCGTTTGGCCCTGGACCGCCAGAGCCTGGTCCGCCAAAACCCGGGACCGTTAGGCCCGGCCCATTTAGGCCCCGGGCTCGGCCCAGAATACAACCTTATATACAACTTTGTATTGTTCTATCCACTATTTGATATGTTTTCTGAATCATGCATAACTAATCCTGTAATATAAATATACTAATTGTTGTACTATTTTATGCGTAACATAAAATGGTATGACAACATATTCATTATATAATACATGGATTAAATACCAAATGATAAAATTACGCTTTATCTTTTAATTTCCTCAACCTCATCATCAACACCTTTTCAATTTTATTACTTTAAAAAATTAATCCTTAATTAAATTTGCCCTATATATCCCATTCTTAGTACGAAGATTCAAATGCTCGATAAAAAATATAATAATCTTTACATTACATAAATTTATAACGCATTTCCTAACCAAACGACCCCTTAGTTTTTAACTACTTCTATTTTAACAAATCCTGTAAATACAATTATTTTAATATCACATTTATTTCAAGAAATTTAAAATAAAAAGGTTAAATGTAGGACGTGGGAGTGACATGTGGAAATAGGGACCACCATTAAGTACATACAAGGCGAAGAGAGAAATAATAGGGAGAAATCCGTACGCAAATGGCAGCACCATTTCCGGGTTTAATTTTCTTGGTTAAGAAAGTTTGCAGGCAATGCTCTAAAAACCATGGTACGTACACACGTCCATCACTTTCTCTATCCTGAATCTGATTCTGACTAACCATTTTGACTGGTCCACCTCAACTAATCCTAGTTTTTTTCTTAACCTATTACGACTCCAAGTTAGAAACTCAAATGATGTTTTGGACATAAAATACGTTTATACAGTTAGAAAAAATATATATAACCCCTCCTTCTTCCCCACTACAGAACCAGTCGACATTTTTAAACCCGCCCCCCGGATTTTAAAAAAAAAAAAAATCTTGGGCCCCACCCGTCACACAAAAAGGGAGGTCCCGCATACAACCCAAGTCTTGGATTCCTTCTTTCGGGGTCAAAATTTCAAATTTCAAATTTTCAATATTTCAAAAAACATAAATCGAGGTATTCCGATTTAGTTTATGTCGAAACTCGTAGAGCATATGCATATTTGTTTTCTTGAATGTGTTTCCACGTTGATTTGTGTTATGTTTGCGATTAAATTTGTATGTTATTTTTAACCGGATTAAATTATTAGTGTTTTAAAAAAATATTTAAAACTTGAGAAATAATTTTTACTGTTAATGAAATTGTTCACAAATATCTTTTACTGTTTTATATGTAATTTCGTGAATGTTATGTTCATATGTTTGGTGTTTTTATTCAGTTTAGATTATTTATTTGCTTAAAGAATAGTGGCCTTTTAGCGTAGTAAAATATAGAGCTTTTTAGCGTAGTAAAATATAGAACCTTATAGCGTAGTTAATATAGAGTCTTTTAGCATAGTAGAATATAGAGCCTTTTAGCGTAGAGTCTCTGTAGTTTAAGTATGTACAAACTACAAACTCTATCCAATTACATTTTACAAAATTATTACTTAATTTATAAAATAAACTTACAGAACTAACAAATTAATATATGTTGTCAAATTAAATATCGAGCGTGGAACTCATAGTTGTATACCCTGTCCAATTAAAAATTAATTATTTAATTTATAAACTAACAAAATTCTAAAAATATTGAAATTGACACACAAAAGAATTAAGGATAGCTTGGTGCTAATGGGCCTCAAATATCGAGCCTGGAACCCATATATAATTACTCTGTCCAATTAAATAATTAATTATTTAATTTATTAAACTAACAAAATTTTAAAAATATTGAAATTTACACACAAAAGAATTAAGGATAGCTTGGTGCTATTGGGCCTCAAATATCGAGTCTGGAAACCATAGATAATTACTCTGTCCAATTAAATAATTAATTATTTAATTTATTAACTTACAAAATTTTAAAAATATTGAAATTGACACACATAATAATTAAGTATAGCTTGGTGCTACTGGGCCTCAAATATCGAGCCTGGAACCCATAGATAATTACTCTATTTAATTAAAAATTAATTATTTAATTTATTAAACTAACAAAATTTTAAAAATATTAAAATTGACACACATAATAATTAAGGATAGCTTGGTGCTACTGGGCCTCAAATATCGAGCCTGGAACCCATAGATAACTACCCTGTCCAATTAAATAATTAATTGTTTAATTTATTATAACACAAATACATAATTAATATTATTTAAATTATAGTAGACGACATGGACTTGTCGCCTGTGCATCCTGGACCAGTCGCGGATCAGATATTAGTGTTACTGGGTGACCATAGGTCCGCCTATGTATGGGACGGACATGTATTGGATCAGACTCTCCGCGCCAGGAGACTGGATGACTTGTGGGACTTTTTGAGGGAGAGAGCTTTCCATGCACGCGTAGTCCATCGCCTGCGTGCTACGGGCTTCCTTAGGATTTTTGAGATTGGGCGGATGCGGCTCGATTGGTCTCTTATCATGGCGTTGATAGAGCGGTGGCGACCGGAGACGCACATTTTTCACCTACCCACTGGAGAGGCCACCATCACGCTTCAGGATGTTCAGGTTTTGTATGGGTTGCGTGTTGATGGACTGGCCGTTACACTGTCCCAGTATATAAGAGCTATGACACGTCCCCAGTATTTGGATTTGCTGGGGAAGTATATTGGTTTCAGATCACAGGGTGAGGCTGCAATTAAAGGGGGCAGTCACATTTCTGTGACAGCTATCAGATAGTATATGGCGAGACAGAGGATCTCCATATTGACCGGTACACTAGGTTGGCGTTATTCCTTCTTTTTGGGGGTGTCTTGTTCCCGAACACTTCGGGAAATCTAGTGAGTCTGCGCTTTCTGCATCATCTGTAGCTTCTAGATGAGTTACCCCAATACAGCTGGGGTGCTGCTGTTCTAGCATACCTATACAGGAGTATGTGTCGGGCTAGCATAGGCACCCAGGTGGACATATGTGGTTTTCTGCCACTTTTACAGGTGACAACATTTTAGAATACTCTTTTCATTACTTCGAATTCTATATAGTCAAAATGACTCTTAAATTTTAGGTCAACCTTTTATCTTAGGTTTGGGCCTGGGAGCTGATCATGCCGTTGCAGCCACCTCTACCACCACTAGAGCCGGGTGTAACACCTTCGTTTCTCCCTCTAGCTACGTGGTGGGTTCTCCGGCGTGGGAACTACCGAGGTAGTGATGCTCATCATAATCTCCCCCTTGTCAAGGATGTGTTAGATACGCTGGTGGCCGGACAGGTAAATATGTACCTAAACTTACTTGTTATAAATTCACTTATGTTGCACATACTCACTTTTATGTTATTATTTGATAGTTCATCTGGACGCCATACAGCGACGAGTTGCTAGCTGATCTGCTCGATTATTGCTTGATCGACCGACTGCTTTGGAGCACTTCCGTCCCGATGATGTGCCTCGATGTGGTGGAGCATCATGCCATAGAGCGTGTACTTCGCCAGTTTGACCGCCTCCAGACTATACCGAGGGAGCCTGCATGAGTGGCTACACATTATCAGTGGGATGATCGTTCTAGGGTGGACAACGAATTTGTAGGATGGCTAGAGGCACAGGTCCATATTTGGGACCAGCGAGAGGACTTGATTCCGCCACCACCTTCATAGATCCAGCAGGCGACTATTGAGCTCTATACGTCATGGTACCTCTGTCACACCCGACTGATGATCGGGAACCCTGTTCATGTACTTGGCGGTCGGTACAGTCTATACACCGGGAGGCACGAGGCACTGGTATGTTTTTGTGGGATAAGTCTTATAATTGTGATATAGGTTATTTAATTAATATTTTAAATGTTGTGCAGGATATTAGACATCACATGTTCTACCAGTTGGGACAGGAGATGCAGCAGCATGGCGACAATACTGCAGTCGTTGAGTATGGCCAGCTGGTAGAAGAGATGGCTCTCCAAACCCTGCAGCGAGCCAGAGAGGGCGCGAGGATGGATCACGAGGCTGAGTATGCGGCGCCAGAGGAGAACCATCAGAGTAGGCCTGTCCCACGAGGCAGTGGTCGGGCACGAGCCAGGGCTGTCCCATGAGGCAGGGGTGCCCCACGGGGTCGCAAAGGACGGCGAGGAGGTGGTCCCCAGCAAGGGGCGTTGAGGCACCTGATGAGGATCTTGGAGATGATCAGCCGGGTTATTTCCCTCAGCTAG